GTCTTATGCTATATTCCTGTATATATTGGATTCTATTTCTAAACTCTCTATTCTATTGCACTGAATTTCTTGACTATTCTTATGCCACTATCTTAATGTTTTGATATTTATGTCTTCATATTATAGTTCAATATCAATTAAGGTACTCTTGACAATCCTTACTATTTTTCTTGGGGAAACATGGAAAATTTTGTATATGAATTTTAAGATGAGTGCATACAGTTCTAAAAAACTCCTGTGAGACTGAAAAAGATTTGCAGTAAATTTACACATTACTTTACATGATTCATCATTTTGAAACTTTTTGTTATGAAAAATATTACATATATATAAAAGTAGACAAAGATAAAAAATTTAAACTATTAATTAGGAACATGTTAGTTACACAAAAAAATTTACTGTTTTTATGATTTTTTTTGTGACTGTTTCTCCCACTTATTTTTTTAATTTAATGATTGGCTAGGTTGGATATGGCAGAAGAAAACAAAACGCTGGTGACCGAGTTTGTTCTCACAGGACTTACAGATCATCCAGGGCTTCGAGTCCCCCTGTTCCTAGTGTTCTTGGTCATCTACCTCATAACCATGATGGGCAACCTTGGACTGGTTGTTCTCATTTGGAAAGACGCCCACCTTCACACCCCCATGTACTTATTCCTCGGCAGTTTAGCCTTTGCAGATGCTTGTTCTTCATCCTCTGTGACTCCCAAGATGCTTATAAATTTTTTATCAAAGAATCATGTGATATCTCTCTTTAAGTGTATGACCCAATTATATTTTTTTGGTTCCAGTGCCACCATAGAATGTTTCCTCCTGGTAGTGATGGCCTATGACCGCTATGTAGCCATATGCAACCCCTTGCTTTATCCAGTGGTGATGTCTAACAACCTCTGTACTCAATTTATAGGTGTTTCATATTTTATTGGTTTTCTACATTCAGCAATTCATGTGGGTTTGTTATTTAGATTAACTTTCTGCAGGTCCAATGTAATACATTATTTCTACTGTGAAATTTTACAACTGTTCAAAATTTCTTGCACTGATCCTGCAGTTAATATACTTCTGGTTTTAATTTTTTCAACCTTCATACAAGTCTTCACTTTTATGACCATCATGGTCTCTTACACCCTTGTCCTCTTTGCCATCCTGAAAAAGAAGTCTGAAAACAGCAGGAGCAAAACCTTCTCCACGTGCAGTGCCCACCTGCTCTCTGTCTCCCTGTTCTATGGCACTCTCTTCTTCATGTATGTGCGCCCTGGGTCTGGCCCCACTGAAGATCATGACAAAATGTACTCTTTATTTTACACTATCATAATTCCCTTGCTAAATCCTTTTATTTACAGCCTCAGGAACAAAGAAGTTATAGATGCCATAAGAAGAATAATGAAAAAATAAAGAGTTGCCAGATAATTTTCAAACTGTTTTTTCTTTGCCTTCTGCTGAAAAATGTCCAATAGATTACACATGACTGCCATTTCACCAGAGGGCTATTGGTCAGGGTAATCTATGAGCTGTGTGTAAAGGAAACCAGCCTCCTGTTACACTTACTTGAATATGGATCCAGTGAAAGTTTGGAAACATTACCATTACTAGCTCATTTAGAAACATTGTGTTCCATTTTATCTGAGCACTCAGCTTTTACAAATTAGTTATTTTCTAGGGGTTTACAAAATTCCAGGTAGTAATTAACAATTTTACTGAGAAATAGCTGTAATTGAGGCTGACATATCAGGTTAGTCATTTAGTTTATGAATGAGCTCAGCCCACCTCTCTGGACCTGCAAGTTAATAAGGCTTTGTTGTTTTCTGCCATACACAGTAACTCTAGTAGACCGATAAAAAATAAAATTCTGCTCCTTGGCAGAATATATTCTAGAAGAAATGTTTTGTTTCAAATGTGAAGAAAAAGTGAAAAGTTATAAAAAATTGGTGGATCTTAGGAAGATAAAAAGAAATCTTCATGAGTTTAAAAACAGAGTATCAAAATTAATCACAGCTCATATTTATAATTCTACATACTAATTATGTCAGAGATATTGCATATAGTATGATATTCAATGATTTACAAATTTAGAAATATATGAGTATAACAAAAAGCAGTTCCAGAGATCAGCCTTGTGATTGCATTACTA